CTTAAAAGCAATATTTTAATTCTTTGAAGAATATCAGGTATGAATAAGTACATGCATATATAATTATTTTGCCAAGAAATATACTATTTAACTATAATGAAAAAATATTTATTAACAGTCAAACACTTCTTTAAATGTTCAGTTTAACACATGCACACTTACTAGCTGTTGACAGTTTTGACAAAAGACAGATCTTTCTTGGTTATTTTTTTTTACAATTTAATTTTTACAGATTATAAAATTTAAAATAAAACTTATAATTCATAAAACATGATGAAATATAACACTATGGTATTTTAATAACTTGATCATGCTTATGGCCTTGACGTTTTAAAGTAGTGTTACTTTAACACTTTAATCTATGCAGTACGCAGTAGTTCACTGTTATATTGTTATTGTATGCCTGCTAATAATTTGTAACTAACCAGTAAGCATAGCCTCATAGGCTAAAGATATATATTTATTATTAAAATATACTGTTGTTTTATTCATTGTTTATATTCTAAACATTTCAAATATCTGGAAAAGAATAATGGAATTTTATTTTTATGTGTTTGGGGGAGGGTAGAGCTTTGAATTATTTAAGGAAGTTAAGCCTCTCCATAACACATAAACCAGACTCCCCTACATTTACATAACTCCTTAAGTAATAGCAGCTGTCTATACTAAATTTGAGGATAAAAATCAAAAATAAATAATTCAAAATTAGTTTTTATATTTAATATTTTATTAACAAAAACAATTATTTTATGTTTAAAAGTGATATTTATGGTGTAACGTAGACACTTAGTATTTTAACTGTATGCCAACTCACAAATTTATACCTATACACACGTAATGAAGTTAGCCATACAAATTTAAATTCTAATCACTAACCGAAATATTTATTAAAACCTTTTGCTTTATGTTTTTTGGAATAATTATTTTAATTATTGTAAATTGAATCAATATAGAAGATATTAGGCGCACAAGAATTATTGTCTCCCAAATCTAAGTATCTAGGTGAATGTAAAAATTCAAGTTTACCAATGCTTTCGGATGCAATTTGAGAACACCCAAACAGTAGGTATCTATTGAATTGCCATCTATAGGACACCTTAATTATATTGATATGTACAATAGTTTGTAAGATGTCCGTATTTTTAAAAATTATTATTTTTAATATCATACAAAATTTCCCGGAGAGATTAATTTTTCTAATAGTATTTGTGTATTTTCTCGTTTCCGGTCATTAATAATTAAGATATTATCATCTGTTCATCTTACTCGGAAGATTTGTTTGTGAAATTTTTACCGTAAACAATTACGCTTTTTGGTCATCAGGCAATGATTTTTTATAGACATTTTAATTTCAAATTTGAACGAAATAACTTCTTTATAAATAAATAATATTAATAATTTTGTTATGATTTACAAACATGCATGTCAATTTTTACGTATATTATAATTAATTATAATTTATATATTTTAATATAGAATTTTACTATACTCAATAATATTTTTGATTTCTTTTAAAATATTATTAACTATTTATATTACGAATCTATTTTTACTGTTTACGGTATTTATAGAAAAATTATGTTATATTTTGAGTTGTACAAATTTTTAATAGGTAGGTATAATCTGTACATTATACAAATATATAATATAAAATAGTAAGCTGACTGACGGATCTATCAATGCACAGCTCTAACCATTGGACGCATCGGCTGAAATTTGGTATACAAATAGCGGTTATGACGTAGGCATCCGCTAAGAAAGGATTTTTAAAAATGTAACCCCCCGAGGGAGTTGAAAAGGTTGAAAAGTGTATAAAAATAGAAAAAAACCGTCTAGCCGAAACCTCCGGAGCTACGAGTATGAAATTTGATCAGTAGTTTTGTTTCATGACGTAGACATCAACTTTTAAGACATCTATACAAATAAAGTATGTTTAAAATTAAAATTAATTAACTAAATCAAGGTTACTTCCTGAATTTCGATTTTAACGTGTGTATGCAATCGTAGTTGTCTGGACTATGTTTGTTAGAAAACATTTTCGATTTAAGGTGTGAGTTATCAACAATTCTAGAAAACAGTAAAAGACGTCGTCGAATTCATAAATACTTTCAGAATTAAAATCGGACCACAGATAGTATGTTTAATTCACCTCCGCTCATTGATCTAAACATTTTAACCGAACAAAAATCACGCACGTTTGCAGGTCCTTTAATGCGCCGTCGGATCGGTTACGGGTTAAGTCGTGCACAGGACAGTAGGCCAAAATGGTCAGTGGGTCAGTGGGCAGAGGGCTAGTCCGTCGCATAGATTTTACAATAAACTATTTTATTTTATAAACAATGGTGTGCAGTTGCTGTGTTGGGAACACTATTATGGTTTCGTCGCGTTTAAAGGTTGTACTTCAACGGTAGATGGCGTTGACGTTATCGTCCACCCGCGCTGTCAGAATACTACCTATATAACAAAATAATAATTACTAAAACGCCCGGATAGAAATAATAATATTATTATATTCAGATTTTACAGTTCGGATTCTTTTTGGTATATTCGGTGTTCACGAAGTAACTAAAAATATTTGTTTTTTTTTTTTTTTTTTTTGTTCATCCCCTTGCGTATATCTTTGATTTTTAGTAATACTTATACCAGAGGTTCCCAACATTTTTTACTTGACGGCGCACTTGATCGTTTTTAAAAAATTTCACGGCACATTTAAATAAATAAATAATAATAATATATATTATACATAATGCCATATTTATAAAATAATATATTGTTTTTATTAAATGATACGAATTTAATGTGATATTTGAGAGTTGTGTTTTTTTACGTAATTCCTCTATTCGGGGTGAAACAGTTGAAACAGCAATACATAAATCACGTTCAAAAAAATCTAAATTTTAAATAGATTAAGTTTGATTAGTTCGATTTAAATTTTTTTGTGTTACGAGTGAAATCCGATATAAGACGAAAACAAATATAAAAAATCTTGGAAAACAATTATCTCAGAAAATTTATCAAATCAGTCTATTTACGTATGATATCTAAAATTAATGTTATTATTTATTATAAATATATATTTTTTTAAATGCATATTTTAAGGTTTTTTAGGGCACGAAGTCCCCAGCCCTAGTTATTACAGTATTTAATACCCGTATCGGGTACTATCGGATGTATAATATTATAGCTGTTTTATCTGAACATTTATTAATTTTTATTTTCAAGGGATTTCGAAGTCAATGTTATTATAAATATAAATCTTAAGTTTGATCAGGTATTATATTTAGTACACATAATAAGATAAAAAATTACAGGGCACACCTGAATAATTATAGATATGTTGCGGCACAGCGGTTGGGAATCCTTAACTTATACGTAAGCCTAAGATATAAATAAAAATATCTTAAGTACTTAATAACTGCTTTGATTTTATATTTTTATAACATAATATATTCTAATATTCTATATATAATCAATGATAACTGTCGAGAACAAATGCTTAATTTTCTTCTCTTAAAGGCCAGACAGCAGTGATTATATTTTATTTATAGGTATTTATTTGTCACCGTTTTTTTATTTTTATGGTTTCCACGGTTCGTATATCATTGACTAGTGATTACCAACTTCAAACTTTGATTATAAATATTTGAATATCAGGAACGCATATAAAAAAATATTTCCGTCTTGGTTTAATATTATTATGTTTTTTATATATATTACGTTTGTGTATAATGTTATTGTTAAATGGTATATAACTATTTTCGAAAAAAAGTAAGGGCTCAGGTATTAATATTTAGCGATGAGTTTCTATTAAAGAATATGAGTTCTGATTTTTCCCAGTCCGTATAGCTGAATAAAATTGTACTATGGTAGGTACATATTATGTATAAAGTATAAACATAATATTAAATATCGTTTAAAAAAATATTTCATAACGTACAACATAATATAATATCTTATAAATATATTTTCATAAATTGTTAGTATTAATTTGTAGTTTTAAGTAGTGGTAATCTACAAACATATATTATTATTACGTCATGTATTATTCGTAATTAGGTAATGTTAGAGCCAGTTAATAATTTATCTTTTTGTTAATTATTTTTAATTTAAATGAAATATTATTCAAGGGAGGAGGGTTTTGCCACCACATCAGTACGCCAGTACTTATAACACCTCTCATTTATTTTATCCAATATTCGCCACTGGACCACATAAGCTGTAGTTTGTAAATCCAGGAAATTAAAAATGATTTATTATATCACTTAATATAATGCTGTCAGGTTTTTTTTTACAATCTGTTATATATAAATAAACAATAAATAATATAGACGGTAGACTATTTAGAATGCATACATGGAATTCAATGTGATTCCCAATCGTTGATAGTCCATTCAGCATCATAACCTCAGAATTTAAAATATAAACATTTTTTTTCTCATTCCTATTTTATCTTAAAAGGGTTTAAGCCCTGTTTCTTTTTAGTCGTCGAGGAATATTTTGGGACAATGTAAGATAAACATTCAGTTGTAAGAGAATATTACCTACCCATCTTAGATTGTGAAAACAAATATACTAATTAATAACAATACTTTTTTTTTTTTTTTAAATTAAATAGGTTACCAATAGCTATCTACCAACTATTTTTCGGTTTAGGTAATTAAGATGGCCTAGCAATAATTCTCGTGTACAAAGTAGAATAAAAACAAAAAATAATAGTTTTTAAGTCACAATAAATTTAATTACATATTTATTAATTGAATATTTTAAAAAGTACGTAGGTAGTAGATAACATAATATTTGTTATCTGAGGTCGCTTACACCCACAGACATATTATTGTTTTGTATTATGTCTGTGTTTACGTATTTTAGAATCCGACTAAATTCTATTGGCAACGTGAATCGGTGTCATTACTCTCTTAGTGCACGGCAGATGGCGCGTATTATTTTATCAACGTTACCTTATCATGTTGTTGTTCATTGTGTTGTTATTTTTTGTTGTATTTCGTTTGTCCGTCACCATGACTTGTAATCCGATTGATAGTTATTATTATCATCGTCGCTGTTGCTCGGTACAATAAATTCTTTTGAATGTTGCTTAATGCATAATAAGCAATTAAATAAATAAATAAATTATAAATTATTAATTATATAAATAAATATGTATTAAATTAGTTTAATACATAATACGCGTACGCTTCTGCAGCTCAGTCGTTCAGTGTATTATAATCGTAATACATCGTTATTACGTGTTTACATGTAACAGACTGTAGTGGATTCCAATTGTCGAGGTGAGTGTGTTGCTTGTTTTCTCCGTAATACGTCGTCGATGCTCAATGTTCGTCGCGTTTTTCAGATGAATGTCAAGAAGAAGATATTACCAGTGATATGCTTTATGTCCGCGTACGTGCACTGGATCAAGCCTCGTCTGCTGTCCGTCTCCGCGTCTAAGGGTGGCAAGTCGCTGTTGTTGAACCTTTGCGGCCGTTCCAGGTACTTCATACCCATGATAGTGATGACTGCGTTTTGGCTATTTGACGCACAGATGCAGATCGAAGCTTCCGTGAGTTTTACGGTCAGGCGCAACATGCCGATAAACATTGATACACCTGAAGATGAACTCGAAGTAGATGATGATGATGTGGACGGCAATGATGATGCTGATGATGACACTGATGAATTGTTTACTATTGATTCATATTCAGACATTTCTTCCTCTTCTGATGTCAGCGTGGTTGGATTGGAAGACATGCACATAGCATTACATGAGTTTGTCAATGGTGAGGGAACTCAAAGGTTTGCTTTTAGGTGAGTATTTTTAATTTTTAGTATAGGTTCAAACATTTTAAATAACCTAAATATTTATTAGGTATCATCCAATTTTATGAGGGCAAGAAAATTGTTTGTTAATTTTTCAATATCCATATAAATTATTTGGATTAACTATTTAAAGTACAGGTCAGCGGTTCTTAACCTTTTGTAGATCATGGACCCCTGTTCAAAAATTTTTGATTTTTGTGAACTTATGATTTTAATAAACAAAGTAATAGGTAACTAAATATTTTATAATTTAATTTAAAATCAATTAAAATATTAAATAGAGAACATGTATTTATTAGCTATGGAAAATTAATTATCTTGATTAAGGATTCAATCTATTTAAACTTTTTATTGAGATATAAGAAGCGATAATAAAAGACAATATATTATTCAGGTTAGAATATAAATCTTATTACTACACCAGTGTTTTTTAAACTTTGTTTCTTGGTGCTTAAGTAATTTTTGAAATTACTTTAAAATACCTAACTAAAGATTAGTAGCGGCTAGCGGGGAAAAAAAATGTTTGTACAATTTTTATCAATAAAGCTCAATATTAAGAATATTTGTATTAATAAAAAACAATTTCACTTATCTCATTAAAATTAAAATTTAGTCTAATTAAAGTAATTGAAGTATTATTATATATGATTATTTTTATTATTACTATACATATTTTTTGAATAAAACACCTTTAACACATTGTTATTATATGAAATAATTATAATTTTTATTGCAAATAATCCTAAAATAAGCTAAAAATCTAAAAAAAAGTAGGAGTTCCATGATAAAAGTAAATGTCAAAAAGGGTTCTATGTATAAAAAAGTTTAAGAAATGTTGAACTAAACAATATTATTGTATAGCTATTGTAGTTTGATAAAAATATATTAATGTTTTATTTACATTTTATACTAGATACTAGATTTATTATATAAGTAAATGAAATAAAAAAAAATAATATACTTGTTATATATTGAGTTTATTAAAGTTAAAGTACCTATTTATTAAATTATTGCAATAATAACAAAAGGAAGTAGTTTAAGTCACCAATATAATTCTCCATTTCATTTATATGGGAATTGGATTATACAAAGTTATGAAGTCTGAATATTACATGTATACTATTTAAGTATTCAGTTTATTTTTTAATATTTTTATATAAATGATTGTTAATGTTGAATGTAGCCGGTAGGTTATCAAACTAATATATTATGATATGATACTACACATCTGTTGAATATTAACAATTTTAGTTGTAATGAATATTAAAAGAAGACTTTATTCTTAATAAAAAAATATTACTAAAACTATATTAATAAGTATCCTTTTAATTTTAAAGTTTTTATTCATAAATGTATACATTTCGTAATACATTATAGGTGATTTACTTAGTTGCTAAAATTAATTCTTTAGACCAAATCAACACATTACAAGCAAGCGTAAATAAGTTGAATGTATTTTATGATATTTTTGTTTACAATTCAACAGCTTTTGTATTGGAAAGAAAAATAAAATTGTTTTTGTTAAATAAGTAATTTCAGTTTTTCTATTCTAGCAACAGTAGCAACAGGTCTATTTTTTCTGCCCTTTGTTGTTTTTAAGTAAATTTTCCTGATTTTGGTTGGTGTGTTCCTATATAGATTTTTTTCTTCAGAGTAACCTTGAACTGATAGATTATTTAATTTTTTCATTACAAACTTGTAGATATCTGTATAATTTGGACGAATGGTTTAGTATCGATTGTAGCCAATCAAACTGGTAGAAACCATGCAGCATTGCAATGTCTGCAATACAAAAGTGTTATTCTACAAAATATCAAAAAGTTTTATTTTATTGTTATTGATATCTACTGACGCTTACTATCTGAATAACCACCAATATTATTGTTATTGTCATCGTGTATTTGTTTTATTTAACTTTGAATATGAAATATTTTTTATGTTTAATGTTGATATGTGTGCGCATATAAACTTAAACGTTTATATTTTAAATTGTCATGCTAAGTGGATTGTACAAATGATGATTACCTACTGAAGAAATTGCTTGACAGACTCAGATTATACGTTACGAGTTGAAATCCTATGATTTGAATAGGTGTTAAATCCTTTCGAAGTATTTTATAACTTAATGTATTCATGTATAATATTATTTTGTTCTCCGTAAATAGAATAAAGGACTAGTTACCATATTATCATTTTAAAAGTTAATGAGTAATGATTTATCGTCAGAGTAATTATTATGAACAAAACATGTCCATGTGGGCTGGGCATGGCCGTTTTCAACTAAAAACGTACCCTACTCTTTTCGGCCGATTCACTTTTCGACCAAATTTAAAATAGGTCGATTTTCTTTTTACCAAACTCATACCCTTTCCTTTTCGGTCGATTCAATTTTTGACAAAAACAAAATTTTATATAATTTTAAAAATTATTAAAAGTATAAAATGTTGTAAAATAAAATGTAGAAAATTATTTAAAATATAAGAATATATATTAACATTATTTTTATGTTAATATATTATAATATGTAATATTTATAATATTATGTAAATAAATAAAATTTAAACCCCACGAGTAGGTTTGTGACATTAGCATAAAAATTATATTAATAGGTACATAGATATTCTTATATTTTAAATAATTTTCCATATTTTATTTTACAATATTTTATGCAACTTATACTTTTAATTATTTTCAAAATTATATAATTACACAATTGCCCTAATTTTACAAAAAAAATATATAACAATTATTTAATATTTTACATACATTACATACAATTTTGTTTTGACTTAAAAGGAAAGAGATCGATTTTAGTCGAAAAAGGAATTGGTGTTTTTTTAATTTGGTCGAAAAGTGAATCGGCCGAAAAGGGAAGGGTACGTTTTTGGCCGAAAACGGTCTTGCCCGTCCATGTACAATGGTTTTTATACTAAATTTCTTCTAAATTTTAAATATTTGTGTCGAGTAAAAAGAATATTTATTAATTTCACAATAACTGAATTTGTTTCATTTAATATCTAGAGTTATATTGCAGGTAAAACTCAAAATAAAATAAGTGGGTGCATGTAAATTCCGCCACAAGTACCTTTTTTTTTTACTTTAAACTCCGCCATAAGTACCTACCTTTTTTTACTGTAAACTCCGCCAGAAAAAAAAACAGGTAAAATTTAATACATGTTAACTTCGCCAGTGAAGAAAATCAAGTAGTAGTATAAAATTAATGTAATATGTTCTTAAAAAAAAATTATACCTAGTATAATATTATCAAATCATATCGTTCACATTAAATATTTAAATTATAGTAAAAAAATCATAATAAATAATCGTTATACCTAATAATGCAAAAATATATAGTTATGCCATGTATGTAAACTAAAATGATGTGATACAATTTGTAAATATTCTAAGTCTTGTATTACTTCATTAGTATATATCATCGTAATAGATGTCAACGTATTTAATGATTTTAATGTGAGAAGGCACGAGGCAATGTGAGTACTGAGCAGCTAAACAAAAAAAAAACTGGCGGAGTTTATATTAGACCTTTTATTACTTTTTTATATTAACCTGTATTCTGGCGGAGTTTACAATCGCCCAAAATAAGTACTCATTATCATAGTTTAGATATTCAAATAATCATTTAAAAATATCTATTCTTAAAACTTCTTAGACCGATTGGATATTTATTTTTTTTGTTTTAGTTATATTAATCATTTTTTTTTTTTTTTTAATTAAAAACTTAGATTTATAATATGTATTTTAAGTATATATATACTTGGAAATTATGAGATGTTATAAAATAATAACAGTTGTAATTCACGTGTAAATTAAATATGATGTTCTTTAAGTTAACTTAGGTTGTTCAAAAGAATATTAACTGTGAGAACCTTGTGAGGTATTTTATTCGACCCGTTTTTAAAAAATTAATATAGTTGAAGTGAGGAGTAGAGTCCTAAACATGCAGTTTATTATTTAATAACTGGCAATTTTCAAAATCTATTTAGAAATGTAAATTAAGAAATAATTTGTTTGTCTTTATAAATATTTGGTTTAATAATATGTTTGGTGAAGGTTTAAAGACTATAAGTAACTAACATATAGGCTATAGATGTTATAATAAAATTACTAGGCATTGTGTAAAGGTATAAAACGCTCAGGGTCATTTTTAAGATTTGCGAGGCTTGAGACACAAAATACTACTGTTATTCCCTTTCATCTCAATTTAAAATTTAATGTTAAAATCATATTTTTATTTGATTTTTACATATTGGCATATTGCACAGTTCAATAAGTATTAAAAAATACTTTCACACATTTAAAATACTGTTTACTAATTTAGCATTTGGTATAGTTTTAATTAATTACTACATGATCATAATTTCGATAATGATAATAATAAAAAAAATGTATATATACACATTCGACACAAAGTCAGAAAATATTTTTAAGCAATTGTATTCTGTAACTAATTTTTAATTTTTTTTTGTTTCGAAAAACTAAAACCTAACCTTTGGAATTCAGTTATAGGTATTGACATGGTAAGCAAAATTCTTAGCTATTAAAGTATTAGTAATGTAATAATAATAATAATAATAATAACTAATGAATACGATATTTTTGTGATAAAATGTATTTTTAAAAACTATCATGTTTTCCCAAATTCGGATAATCTTAATGTATGGCTGTATACAGTGAGATGCCAACTATGATCAATAATTATAATTCATAATTCATGATTATTGATTAAGAGGATGCTACACCCGCACATGTTACCGTCTTACATATGTACAACATAGAAAATTTTCGTTCAACAGAATCCATTTTATGTTGTTAGCTTTAATATTAAGTAAATTTACCTATTATCAAACTTAAAGATTTGAATATTTTCTAGGCCATAACTTAGGCTTTTATTGATATTATAATTTTAAAGTAAGTTAACATTTTAAAATTTTAACATTTTACATAGCTATAATTCACTTTATAAATTATAATATCAAGCAAAGCTTATGTGATGGTTTAGATAATATTCTTACCTTTAAGTTTGGTAATAGATAAATTTACTCTAACATTAAATCTAACCACATAAAATGGATTTTGTTGAACGCTAAATTACTATGTTGTATCTATGTAAGATAAAAATATCGCATATGAGTGGTGACGTACTCTTAACGATTTAATAACGTTGAAAATTATTAATGGTAGGATGATGAATACATTATATAATATTTATGTAATTAGTATTTTTATTGTCTTTTTTTATAATTTAAAGATTTAAAAAGAAGGATTTACCTACATATAATTTACTGGTTATTCTTTAAAGCGCGAGGCTCTGGTCGTATTCTGTCAGCTATAAAAATTTACTTAATATGTGTATAAATGTCGTAGAATTCACTTATATAATACGAAAAAGAAACAAATATTTTATTTTATGAAAGTTTTGTTAGAAATAATGTTTTTGTGCTACTGTTACAGACATTCCGTTCATAGCGATCATCATGAACAATAGAAACTACACTAAGCGAGTTGAAGAAAAGAACAGTTTTTTGCCATTCAAAAGAATGGAGAAGATGTATTTTAAAAAGCCATAAATTAAATACTCTAAATGTAATATATTTTGTTTATGTTTAATAAGGTACTAAAATACCGTATTTTTAGAGTTTACATAAACTGCGTATATACGCGTGTATATGGTTGTGTGTATATTCATATATTTGACTGTTATTGTCACGATTTATACTCAATGTTTATATTTTATACTTACGTATTATATATTAAATGTTTAGTAACCAATTTGAACCACATATTATACCGGTGGTCTCGTTTACGATGTTTAAGAATTACCTTACTTTAGCTAAAATACAATAATGATTCGTGAATACGATGTGATGAGAAAATACTTGGATTCCATCTTTTTTTTTTGCGTCGTAAACTGCTTATACATCTCCGAGTTTATTTCCAGAGTCGTGTGACAGACCATGACGATATATTCATATTATTTTTTTCATTCGAAATTACAATAAGTGTAATGTAGGTATAATAGATATACACACATATTATAGTTTTATATATTAATATTTTAGTTTTTATTATAGAATAGGTACGTACATTTTATAATATTCTTAATGAGTATGATAATTTCACAATAAATAACAAATTACAAATTGTTAGATTTTGAGCACTTACATATTAAAGAGTTTTCATTTTCTATCGGTATAATATGTGGTTCAAGACAATTTTAATTATGAATGTGGGTGAACAATGAATGTACATCAACAACAATGAGAAGACTGATGTAAAAACTATTATTTGGCAGTATTTAAGATTTCTGAACATTAATTTTTATTCAATGTATGAAATTGCAATTAATTATATTTTAATTTTGTATAGCATTAAAAATATTACACATTACATAAAGTTATATAATATGATAATGTGTGTATTAATATATATATATATAGTAAGTACTTATAACTTATATATACGATATTTATAAGGTTAATATATTTAAATTTTTTTTTATAGTATACAATCGAGTTTTTATTTACATCAACAAAATAAATACTTGAAAATTTTCTTTATAACAGGTTAAAGGATTAATACGCGAATCGTACTTTAAATAAACTCTAAGGTGTTGGTATTTTAAAAAACAACATACGATTTAACACGAAAGCAACAGTAGTAATATAATTTGATTTACGATGAGTAACTTAAAATAATTTTATCGTATTTATTTAACATCTATAACATTATAGTATTGTATTTTGGCTAAATTTATGTATAGTAACATGCGATATTCGTTTTCATTCTGTATTGAGCTCCGTGTTTTTTATTCGTTCTCGTGTATTACTTGAATCTGAAACAGAATAATTTAACACATCTTAGTGATTTATCACAATAGATTATTAGCTATTTGTTATGTAGTATAGCAAAAATTTGATTTTAGGTAGGTATATTATTTATTATTTTACTCCAAATTCCGATGAAACCATTTTTTATATTACGTTATATGAAGCATAGTATAAGACGTGTTATATTTTTATCTATTAAAATAAAATTCAAATAAACTTTTGTATTATATTTGTATGGTTTTATATTGTAAACGATCGTATTAACACGGGCATGTTCATTTTTTTTTTTTTATATAAATGCCAATTTAAAATTAAAAAGGGAGGCAAAATTCCAAAATGATCATTTCATTATTTTTAACAACGGTTTTCAACTGCTATATTTCCAAGCACATCTCGCTTACGTTACAAACAATAAAAACAACCAACTGAAATAAAAATAAGCTTCGTTGTGTGTTGCGTAATCATGATATACGTGTGCTTTGGTCATTAAAAAAAAAAAAAAAAAATGGTATCGTTAAAAATTTGCAGTAGGTAGTGAACACATTCTCACTGTATACAGTATACTTTGATTATAAATGGGTAATTTTATACCGCAAGTTTGTGTGTGACGAGCATTTTGCCATTAAAATGTTTATATTTATTTCCAATTTCTTGTGTCCATATAGCAATTTTATATTGGTCCATTAAAAAGAATTTAAAAATAAAAACAAATCGAGTGGAATGATCCAATTACGCGTCGTGATTGTAATTATATATATTGAGATTTGTAAGTTACAACATAACCTTTCGTTGAATACCAGATTTTTAATATGCACGTCACTTGCAGATGCGCAAGTTCATTGATTTATTACCGCGTCTGACTGTAGGTGTGTAATATGACAACTTATTATATAATAAAACGATAAGATAAGCAAATGATCTCGCTTCGATTAAAAAAAATATTATAAATACACATAATCATTTATTTTTTAGCTTTATGAATACCCATTGAAAACCACGGACATTTTAAAATTATTTTATACTTAAAAAAATGTTAAACATTTTAAATTTTAACATTTAACGTTTGTCAGTTAAATATAACGGATTCACACCAAGTTCTTCTTACGGTAGTTTAAAAATGAAAAGATATGCACATAGTTTTATTAGTTCAGTTTTTGAAGTTCAAAATGTTTTTGTTTGTTTCCTTTGTTTAGAATAGTTTTTCGTGTCAATGATCTATCGATGATGTCGTATAGTAAATAATAGCGACAGTCAGAAACAAATAACGTTCAATATTTCCGTGCAGCCGAATAACATGTAGTAGGTATATTTTTTCGTTCGTTTTTTTGATTGAAAACTTTAAGGTGCTTTTTTTTTATGAAAAATATCAAAAGTTTGCAAGGAGTTTTATTTTCATTTTTTCATTTGCTACACACCCCCGTATACTTAATTCATGTTTACAAAATATAAACTAAGTCATAAATTAATTGAAAATTAATAAAAATTTCATGCCCGATAATGTAAGATGAAAAACTAGTAAAAGTTTTTCGCATTTCAACGGAAATCAAAATAAAATATTGTTGTTTGAACGACTACCTATTGGCTATCGTTTTACGAGCGGATTACCTACCAATGAAACACGAAAGTACACTTTGACACCTCGATTTAGTTGTTCGATTTTTACAAAGGTCTTGTTGCTTTTCTTTGAATTACAGAACTAGTTGAGTTTTTCACGGATATACTTATAACTAAGTAGTTTTCAAAGTCTTGGACGCGCACACAAAAGCAAACTATTATGTAAGGCCTTACGTTTAGAAAACATTATTATACAGTCGGATGTGCTGTATACTCGCTTTCCACTCACGTATAAAATGGCGACAGCTCTTGAAAGCAAAGAACATTGCACAGCTGTCTGTCTAGACCTTTCGATCGCGTATGGCACCAAGGTCCATTTTTTTAAAAACAAAATCGATCCAGCCTCTATTGCATTACTTAATAACTAAATCATACCTAAACGAAAGAAATTTAACAGTCCATGTTAAATCAGATATTTTAAATTTAGTTACAATACAAGCTTGCCATTCCTAAAGGATCAATCATAGTTCCTCTTTTCTATTATTTTAATCAACTCTTCTGATCAAATAATTTTTAATAACACTCTGATCAAGAAATGGATATTGTACAAATGTAACCTTAATAATTGATATACGAGTACCCATTTCACAAAAAACTAATTGTATCGAGGAATAACGTTCGACAAATGTCTTACTTGGTCCACTAATTACATATAGGTCCACAAAAAGGAATTACACTAAACGACAGAAAACTATGAAAATCTTTCAATGTTATAGTAGATATTATTTCAAAAATAAATGTTGTGTAGTACAGCTTACATTTGCTTCAAAAACAAATTATGAAAAATGTCTTGAAACCTCGATAAACGCCATACAAACATAAAAATAAAAAATAAAAATATTAAAATAATCAGGATCCACTTGAACACATTTTTTTTTTTTACTTACTGAGTTTATGTTTTAAAATATTAAAAAAAAAAAATGACATTGCATGAAATACTCGGGTGTCGGGCTCATGTTTAATCAACAGTCGATCAGCGAGAAATGTTTTACCACCCGTCGTACAACTGTTGCAGTGTCGTTTGTATTCAAGCGGTACCGTACCAGTGGATCACCTGTGCCCGGTGGCAAGATTTATAGAGACGGTGGTTAAATCATGTGATAATATAGTAATGTTATATTAAATTAAATACGTTGAAATATTGTTTTGGCAACAATGTAGGTAACAATTGTAGGGTGGGAACGCGTAGTATAGTAGGGAGGTACTGCCAAAAAGCTATACAAACACGCCAATGGGGATGAACTATGAATGTTAATTTTGTGTGTTATTATTGTGCTGTGACGTAACTTTACCTTATACGACGAAATCTGAAGCCATTATTTTGGTTGGGTTATTTAATTATTAAAATACTCCATCTCGGTTTAATATTAAATGAAAGAAAAATATCAAATATTTTATTTTGAATTAATTTATTATCATAGCAACGTGCGTGAGTAAGATTTAGTACTTAGTTGTCTCGTATTTCGTAACTCACTATTATTTTAATCATTAAAATCAAAACAATAACTATAAATGAGTAGTTAGGTCGTTAATTGTTTTTTTCTATGTATTACACTACAAAGGTAATTAAATCGAAGCTGAGCTTTAACTTTACAAAATAGCTGACGTTAACGACGGTTCGCCCCCCGCCTAAGCATCATCCTTTTGTCTATATCTTTACGCTATGATTACATAACAATGTACAATGCTAAACGATCAGTGGTTTATCATTGTTCACTGCAGGGCAGTATCATTGTCCGGAAGCATCATCTAACCAGCTGTAGCCATTTTCCTCTAAAAAAAATCGAATATGGACCATTTTTAAAAACAAAAAATGTTCACCATATGAGGCATTTTTATATTTTTGTCAAAAATAATTTTTTATATGTTTTACATAATTACATATAAATATCAAACTTGAAATTAATTAAAATTAAAAATCGTCGTAATAGAAGTATAAAATTTATAATAAAATAAAATAAAATAAATAAATAAATTTATAATGAGGTTTTGATGGACAAATGGGGTTATCATTTTTTTCGATGTACTGTCACGAATTCAATTGAATATTATATTAAAGTTTATTGTGAAACAGGTACCGGCCAATATGTATTTAAAGGTAGGTATACACATTACTTGTTTTAAATGGATACTTATAAAAATATATTGAATGCAATAACAAGTAACTTTCATGTTTGGTTCAACGGCCTTGTATGTTTTTCAAAGGTAAACCTAACCAACTTGGATAAAATTCAAATTTTGTTGACAAACAATTGAAGTGGATTTCTGCTCTTCTTTTCAGATGATTGACATTCTTTTTTTGTTCGTCGAGACGCGGTTTTCTTTAAACATTAGCTTTACGTACTTTAATGTTGTAATTATATATAACGTTTTTAATGTTATTACATCTATAATTGAATACAACATTGTGTAAGTGGATTTAACTATAACGAATAATAATAACTTTTGTAATCTGTTTGTTCTGAAAGAAATTTGCAGATTTTATTCATAATGTAATATTTGAAATAGTCTAATCGGATACGTTTGTAGTTTAAAGCCATTAAAGGTCATGTAAAATGTTTTTATTGTGCTTTAATCAAACTTATTAGAATATA